TACAAAAAGATCCAGGATTGCGTATTATGCTACCCGAAATAAAGGTATCGTTGCATGCCGAAAACATTCCCGTTACAATTATCTCAATCCGCATGATTCAAATAAAATTACTGATTTCGCAATGCAGGCAGGCCCCTACAGAAAATTTAAGTGAAGATTGCAAGAAGTGAAGTTTTTAAGGTTCATGATTGGGTGACAAAATTTGGACAATATCCGATGCCATCTGAAACCGAAAACTGTCATTTGGTGACTGTAACTGAAGAGGAGATTGAGAATTGCGTTCAAGTGGTGCCACGTCTCGACACGCTGATTCTTGTGAAGGCGATGGGGCATCGTAAGCGATTCGGAAATCCATTTCGGTAGCTTTCGGTCATTTTTTCCGCACATTTCAAGACATTATTTCGTTCCAATTCATCAGCATTCACTGTCTGACCATTCGGATGGATAAACAATGTTTGAAGTTTCGTTCAGATGATGGGATTTGATCAAAAGATTGCTAACTGGTTTCCAACAGCGCGTATTTCCCACAGTTCTTGAAACATTCGAACTGGCAAATGAACATAAATCACATTAACTCTTTGGGATTTTATTCTGAAAATGGTAAAATCTCACGTATAACGCATAATCGATGATACTCACTAATTGAACACTCCTTCGAGCTTGAGATTGAGTCAGATCCGAAAACGTCACCTTCCCTTTGCATAGCCGCTTGAGGTTTGCATGAATTTCAGTTCCAGGACAAAAAATAAGGATGTGCGGATGCGAAAAGCCGTATCAGTGAGGGAGAAGAGTTATGCGCCAAGCATGGATCGACATGACGATAGCGATGAAAACATTAAAGACGCGACAAAGAGGTGCGCACCGTTTGCTGTTAATTCACTGCGAAACGTCGTTCAGCTTATTTTTGAAGATTTTTCCTCAGGATCAGTCAGTCACATTCCGGATGAATTGCTCATCCATCTAATCCGGCATACTCGAAATTGCTCGTCTACATCAATGGATCAAGACCAGCTCATTTCCAAACGAATTCAAATAACACTCAATTCGATGATCCTTGATCAACGTTGAGCAACTTGATCAATTACGGCTGGATGTTTCAGGTATGAACCATCACAGGATAATTCCGTAGAGCAGATCGAATCCGGTGTTGAAGCGCTCTCGCTTTGTGCACGTGTTTATGAAGAATCCTCGCGAGCCACATCACGAAGTATCAGTCAAGCGGCAACTGCAAGGCAATGACTCCAATAAAAGTGAAGAAACAGAGCCCTTCAAGAAGATCCTCATGAGAATTTGATTCGACATTCATACAGTGTAATCAATTGCTTATGTCATGTTCTTGTATATGTGACAAATATTATTGTGCATAAGTTACATTTATTGAGATCGTTGTGATTGGATGCGTGAAATGACTCTATTTCGTTTGTGGATCCAGTCAAGTACAAATGAGCTGGTGATGTGAGTTCCGACGGCAATGGGTCTTCTTCCTTAAGATACAAAGTTTTGAATAGAGGTGATCCAGTTATCAGGAAAATAAATTGGGAAAACGGAATTCCAGTCAGTACGGTTCTGGGTTTTGATCTACAGAAACGACTTGTTCAGTATACTGGATGTTCTCTGCCTATGATTGGTAGATATAGTTGGGAAACAATTGCGATTCTAAATATTTCGCAGATACTCAATACCTAAAGATGGACTTAAGGATGTTGACTTCACCGAAACAGTGAACAAGAAACTAGCCGTGAGTCTATCTTCTAAGCCTGCAGTTTTCTCGTGTGCAACTGCAAAACGCACGTTTTTGGAGTTGTCCCAGTACTGTTCATGTAACACTTGCTCAGCGATGTATTTATTGCTCATAGGTTGATCTGATTGAAGTTATCCTTGTTCGTTTTGTATCACTTTACTATGCAAATGGCTGTATGCAAATGATGAAATGCATTCAATAAACGGTTATCTCGTGAATGGATTCTCTTATGATCATATTGTACCGGCAATATGAAGTGAATGCATTCGAATAATTGCATATTCACGCGATCGACATATTTTTCGGCAGAAATCTTAGAATTGGCTCCTTGGATGCATGGTGTTTGAATATGATGTGAACACGATACAGATATTCCTTCTCAAAGATGTCTGCCTGGTTTTTTTGAGATACGATAAGGAGCCGAATGATACAGTACAACTGACAAATAGAGCAGACAGGCAGTGACGAAACGTGTTGTTCAAGCCTTTGATATGGTCTTAGCTCACTTCAGTCAGTCAGATAACAAATACTATCACATCATTTCAGAATATTCAGTGAACTATTTTTTGAAATTTTCTGATCGTGAACTATTTTCGTTAACTTGATGCTCACTTAATACTCGTTAATACTCTGTTGTCTTCTCCAGACGAAATTTGACATTTCTAGTGCGTAGAATGGACCGACCGCTCATGCCCAGGAAAAAGTGCTCCTTGAAACTTAGGTGAGTGAATCTTCGAGTAGCTCAAAGCTGAGAATTGGACTGAAAATCAGTATGACAAGGCCTTTTTTCTGTTGTTGGAAATGGCAGTGCCTCTAATTTCTTGTTTCACTGGTTGAGCACAATCATTCGCCTCATATGAATTTGACGAAGAACGATCCGCACAACGAAATCAATCGCTAGGTGAAACGTGTGAAGGATTTTTGTTGAATACAATGAAACTCATGCAAGGTGTTACATACTTGAATTATTTTTCATTCAATTCAGTCAGCTTTTACTGCACAGGAATTTTTCTCATTTTGATTGCCTCATTCGTGTTCGAACGGTGTTTTTTATGTTGCTTTG